TCCTGCTGCAGCCCCGGGGGCTCTGCCGGAGCTGTTGGGGTGAAACCCGGCTTCTCTTGGCCCCGGGGGTGGTGGGCTGTGGTGGGGAGATGCAGGGTAGGATGCTCCAACTGCACCGGGACCGGCTCCGAGCACGCAGCCCCAGCCAATTTTAGTGCCGTCCACCCCAACCCCTCCGGCCGCAGAGGCTCCGAGAGGCAGAGCTCTCCTCTCCCTGTGCCCAGGAGAGCCAACAAGGCCATTTTGCATCTCTGAGTGAGCAGAGGTGCTGCCTGTTTCCTTTGGCTTTTGAAGGCTTCCATACAGATGGCTGCATCTGAGGGAGTCGCCTACACTCCTTTCTTGTCAGCAGCAAGAAATGGGCATGGTGCATCTCCTCCTGAAGGATGTGACTAAAAACAGCCTGGGTGAGCCGTGCTTCCTTGAAGGACCTGTTCCTGCGACCCACTCGGACATTAAAAGGCAACATCGGCATGTCTGAAGTTAGGTGAAATGAGCACCGTTCTCCCTCTCCCCTGCAGCTGGATTTCCGCAATAAGCAGCTGGCAAGGAGGAGGAAACCTCATCTGGCTCTTCCCCAGCTCCTGCCAGCCCTGTGCTGAGGGGTGAGCCCGCATTTTGGGGTGCCCTAGGTCTGTGCTGGGTATGCAGCAGCCCGAGGATGGGAGCAACGCTGCCTCACAGCCCCTGGGGCAACATGGCCAAGTGTGGATGGAGGGTGAGGAGTGTCCTTGGGCTGCTCTGACAGTTCCTCCCCCTGTTTTTAAATCTTCCAAGACAACAGCCTTTTTTGCATAGCACCGGGATGTTGTTGCAGGATTACCTGCAGGGTAGGCAAGCCTTCAGGGCATGCTTCTGGATGGACACCAGACACAAACCCTGCCCTAATCCTCCTGGTTTATAATACTGAGGTTTCTTGCTTGCTTCCCACGCTTCCACACCCCGATGAAGTAACAAAAGCTGTCGTCCAGCAACCTTACTATTTACAGACTTATGTGTACCATAACTGGTGTGCTTCATACACCACAATGTCGTCACAGAGGAGGAAGCCAGATGGCTTTTTTAGGAAGAGCTGAGGAGGGGGGATCATGCAAGATGATGGCACTCCCAAGAGGGAGCCAACAGTTTCCTTGAACATCCTGCTATCCAGCATGAGACCATCGTCCCTCCACTGCTAGACTGAAAAATCAGAGGCGATTACACACTTTCCAGGCAGGGATCAGAGCACTGGATGTCATCATGACGGTGAATGCCCAGGAATGAGGTGCAGCGGTGGGTAGCAGGTGCTGCCCATCCCAGCTCTTCACCAGCAGCAGGACAGGTTCACCTCCAGTGGACTTGACCACCAAAACCCAAACAGAGTGCCACTGACAGGAGTGAGCCCCAGAGCTTGTGTCCCCGTAACATGCTGGGGCACACCATATCCCCTTCTGTAGGGTGCTCTGCAGAGGGGTGTACCCAGACCCACTGCCTCAACCCCATGCCATCTCAGCTCCCCCCTGGCAGCAGTTTTGCTCAAGCTGATGAACATTTTCCCAGGACCCACTGGGGATGTGCTTACTGGGACCTTTTCCTCTTCCTTTTCATTCCTGGTACTTCTTTAAGTGCTTTCATTTTTTTCACTCCTTCCTTTGGCTTCTCCTCTGCAAATTTAACATAAAGTTGTTGATTTTGGTCGCTGAGAAACAAAAAGGTCTGAATCTTTGAGGCCACCAGTTTGCTTTTGTTGTGGTGCCTTTGCCTTGCCCAGAACGCTGGCAGGCAGAAAATCCTGCAGCCTGAGGATGCTGGCAGTCCTTGCAGCACCAAGACCTGCACTGTTGGATGCTCCGCCCCAGAAGTCAAGGGCTGTGGTCTTGTGGGCTGCTCTGGCTTTGAATATCTGTGATGGGGACAAAGCCAGACCTCAGCACAGCCTGGGATAGAAACTACACCTTTCTCTGGGACATTTTCCTGGTGAACCAAAACTTTGACAGTGACTTGCTTTGTGTGGCATTCAAATCCTCACTGACTCTCAGACAGGACCATAGGATGTAGCAGCAGTGGTGATGCCCACCGCAGGGGTGTCCTACATGCTCCAGGCAGATCCTTACGGCACAGAGTTTGTGGTGGGCTTGAGCCACCCTTTGCAGTGCTGAGCCCCAAGATCTGAGTTTCCCTTTGTTTTTGTCCTGCAGTCCCACCCGCTGTCCCTGTGCAACAGCAGCGAGGATGAACACACCGAATCGGGATTCATCACCATTGTCAAGCTTGAACAACCAGATCGGGATCCCAACCCCTGCCTGTCGCTGGCTAACAAGGTAGGTGCAAAAATGCCCCGAATGGCACCAACCTGGTGCAAGAAAGAGTAAGAGCGGGAGGAGACAGCAGGGTAGGAAAGAGCTGTTGAAGGTGGAGAAAAGGACAAGGACAGAGCAGGGTCCTTGGAGGAAGGGGTTCTTTGGGAGATGCCCTGCGCCAGCCATCCCCAATACCCACCCCTCCTTATCTTTTGGACTGCCTGGCTTTGTAAAAGGTGTGGTGTTTTCCCTAATCTGACTGCTCTGGGATGCTCAGACCTTACCCCAGCATCTCATACACTTTACTGCCCAGCAGCCTTGTGCCCCTCCTGTTTTGCAGCCTCCCGTTGCGTGCTGGCCTGTTGGGGGGATTTATGTTTCTCGGTGTCCTCTGTCCTGTGGGAAAATATGATCACAGAAAATATCTTCTGTGCCTCTGTCTTCAAAAATAGTACTGTAATACTTCACTGGATGAGGCAAGTGAAAATTCAGCGCTGAGCAATTCAGACAAATGCAAACTAGACGAAATAGTGGTGGGATGTGACTCGTTAATAGCGCAGGCCACCATCCACCCTACAAAGGGATGGGAGAGCTCAGAGGTCTTCAGATCAAGTCTCCTCTGAAAGAGGTACCTTAGTGAAACAGCAGTTACTGTGTCAAAAGCTGAGGTCACTGGTACAATTCTCCAGTAATAAGGAAGTCAGGTAGGAACGAGGGTCATTTTAAGCCTTAAAATCTTTGTGTCTCTGATAAAGTTGTGTGGATAAGGCTAACATTAGCTTTTTCTTCAGTGGTTCACGGCGTCCTTTTATTGTCTCTGCACTAAATGTTGTATTATTTTCCACAAGCATGGTACAAACATGAAAAAAAAAACTTGTTTACCTCTCCTTGGCTTTATCTGGATTGCATTCATGTGATGCCACCCCTGTTGTCTGCATTCTGCTGGTAGTGACATGCTGGGGATGGGGACAGGGTCCTTTTCTGTCCTCCCTGCAGCTCTGCTGAAGAGGCAGGTAAAACTTGTACCAAGGAGTTGTTCCTGCCCAGCAGTTGGGTTTTTTTTCACAGAGGCTGTGGCAACAAAAGCCAGGAAAGTGATGTGATGCTGTGATGGATTTTCCACTTCAGGGCTGCTTCCCTGCAGTCAGGCAGCAATGCCTATCCCTTTCTGGACCAGGGTGGAAGCCTAAGTTTGGTTTGGTGCTGCTCTGGAGCTGATGCCAGCTGTTAGGACAAGCCAGTGTGGTGGAGTTACAGACCTGCTATCAGTTACCCCACATCTGGAAAATGGCCTGGTCCCACCTGTGGGTGTTAGGGATGCACGAGGATGGTGAGATAAAGAGCGAACCCAAGGGCTTCCAGTGCAGCTTGTGATAGACGTGAGAGGAAGGGTTCTGCGGGTGCCTTAGGGAGCACAGCTGGGTGCTCCATCTCTCCCGTGTCCATCCAGATGTGACCATCACGTTATAGTGGTCCCAGGCTGCTGCAGCTGACCAGGGAGGATGCTGGGGGTGGGGGCAGCGATGGCTGGTTTGGTCAGTGCAGCTACTGTGGAGGATCTTGAACAGGAGGAAGGAGCAGCTTCAAAGGCTCATCTTCCACTGTAGAACCTAAAAGGTTTAAAAACTGGTTTGCTAGTTTTGTCTTTAATCTTTGAGACTCTGATCACAATACTGGAAATGCCAGTGTGTTACTGAGTCCAGGGATTGGCTGAGCAAGGTCTGCACAGGGAGGAGAAGACATGGTACATTGCTGTACTATGGTCATCCTCACTAGCTTTGATCCGTTCTCCAGAACCACTAACAAAGCAAATAAACCCCACAGTTCACTGCCATGCTCATGACTTGATAAAGTGACAGTTCACTGGCCTTCAGTCATCATTGCTTTGTTACCAGAGCCAAATCCAACACTGGATTTTGGGATCCAGCTGAACGTGACATCGGTTGCCATCCTTCTCCAAGATCTCACCCAGGGAGGCTCACAACTCTTCTCCCTCCAACCAGGACTAGTTTAGCCATGAAATACAGGCAAATGCTCCTTAAGCTGGCCACATCCCCGGGCCCTGCTTTGTACCTTGGTTCCTCCATCCCCCTTCAATTGCTATCTGGCTGCTTCTTCATCCTCCTGAAGCCTCTGCCAAGCTCCTTCCCTCCAACATCATACAGATCTCTTCCTCAAAATCCCTGGACAATGCTTCTCCTCAAGAGAAGGAATGTAGCTGTGGAGTGTGGCTGCTGCTGGAGCAGGAGCCTTGTTTTCCTGGCATGTGTTCCTTGCGGTAGAGTTTTGCATGTTGAATTGCAGCACTATATCAATGACGATAAAAATAGCCATGTGCAAACTGTTATCATAACCTCTGCTTTAGCTGTCACCCAGCCAAGCAGTGTGCACAGACAACCCCGTCCAGCCCAGCATGAGAATAACTCCACCAGCCACCTGAGGCACTTTGCTGCTTCTCCTCTCTTAAATTCTAGCACTGCTTCAGCATCCAAAGCTAAACCCAGTTGGGAAGGTGGTTGGTTTGCAACGGGAGAGGAAGGCATGGAAAATACCTCTGGAATCCATTCAAAGTGATTTATTTTTCTTTCTGACGCATCATTTGTTATTTTTTGGTCTATTTTTGTTCCTGAGTGAACCATTGATTGCAAGTCTGGTTGGCAGACTGCTGAAACCTCCTAAATCATCCTGTAAATACATATTTGCACCAAAAGTGTTTCAGTCCTCAAAGAGGAAGGTCAGCTGTGCCATGTGGCTGAAGAGATCCGACGCAAAGACAGCAAGCACTCAGAAAAAGATTGAAGCAAGCAGGTTGTGAATAGCTTGAACAAAAATTGTGTCCTCTGCAACAGGAGTCAGAAAGATGTTGGGAAGAGTCACTTATGCAGTCTCAGTTGCTTGTTTCCCCATCCTTGGTGTCTTTAGCAGGATAAAATCTTTGTAGAGCTGTTCATTGTTCATCAAAGCTTGACTGGCTCCAATGGGTGGAAGTTATGACCTGAAAGTCCTGACTCTACTTCAGTGCTGGCAAATGCTAAGGTGCCTTTGATCCCAGGCAGGACTTCAGTCTCTGATCCCTGCCCTGAGCCTCTGATCCCACTTTTCCAGCTTCCCCATCTGGTATACCAAACCCAAGAATGTCAAATCCTATCAGCAACTCAGAACCTTCAGCCCTGCCTCCATAGTCTTCCCAACTATCTGCACCTCCTTTGACATCCCTGTCCCTGTGCCCAGGCCCAGGCAGACATCTCTGGCACCCGGCTTCTCCCCATCGAGGTGCGTGGAGGTGACCAGCACCTATGAGCGAGGGATGGAGCTGAACCTGCTCCACCGCTGCTTGCTGCACCGGGAATGCCCCTTCCCTTTGCTCAGCCGGCACCCTGCGTTTGATATTGCAGCTGGGAAGCGGCGGCACTGACCTCTGGCCCCTAAGCTGGAGTTTGGCAATGCAATGGGTAAACTGCTGCAGCAGCTCCAGCAGCTCCCTGTTTGCACAGGCGCTCGGGGACGCGCAGATCAAAGGGCTCTGCGTGAGTAACAGAGGCCCAACCCTGCACTTTGTTCACGTTCCTGTCTCCTGAGGCTGCCTCTGCCTGCCTGGAAGGCTCGAAGGGCTTGGTGGGAGGACGTGGGTGACCCCGCAAAGTCCTCCGGACAGTGTGCTTTGACCTCACCAAGGTGGCATTTGGGTGGGTCTCAGAGCTGTCCTCCTTGGACCGCAGCAACCAGTGGGCTGCGAAAAGCCACCCCCCTCCTAATCCTAGACCAGACCCACAGCCCAGGCATCACCTGAGCTTCTCCCTGATGAATGTGGGGGACGAGGACCAGGGAGAGAAATGCGTACGGGAGTCAGGCCCATAGACAGCCCATGGCTGGTGCAGCCAGTGTGAGAAGTGGAGACTTGCAGAGGTTTCTGCTGTCCTGGATGGGAGGGTTGCGTAGCGATCAGCAGGGCTAACAGGGCTGCAAATCCCTCCCCAGCAAATCCAGCTCTGAAGCAAAGGGGCACATGACACAGACAGCTGGGGAATTTGGTGTTTAGGTTTATGGGTTGCTGTGACTGCAAGCCCACCCACTAATTTGCCTCCACAACTATAGGGAGAAACCATCTGCGAACCACAGAGCTCTAGCAAGAGTGGGCACTGCAATTCAACACAAGTACAGAAACCAAGGTGTAAATTATTTTCTCAATCTAAGCAGTAGGTGCTTCTTTCGCTGAAGAGCCAGGGAGGCAGATACATATCCAAATGGTAGATGTTAATACAGATGTACAATACAAAACGTCCACTAAAACTTCTGTTCTTTTGGACAGGCAAAGCTGGCAGGGGAGCGTGGAGCCCGTGCGATCCTTTTTGATATTACCGATGATGAAAGCGCTGCTGATCAGGTACAAACTCCATTGATATTATCAGCTAAACCACAGTGCCCCTGTCTCATCCCAAAATGTGCCCAGGTCAGGACCCAGAAGCCACCAACACGCAGTGGGAGGTCCCAGGAGGATTCTTCAGGCTGGCTTTGAACATTAGCTCTTACCCAGCTCATCCATGCACACAGACAGTCCTTTTCTCTTCTGTTCACTCCATGGCACATCTCCACACAGCCACCAGCAGGTCAGCAGCTTGCGAACAGCACCTTGCTGCTTTTAAAGGATGTTGTCTGGTCTGTTGAGCTTTTCCACCAGGAGCTGGATGCTTCCTCTTGGGAAGTCACAGATTACTCGATCCCATCTGGTACAGACAGCCCTGGTGTATCTTCGGGGAAAGGAAAGGTGATTTCTTGAGCTTTCAAGCCAAAGTCATGGCCACCCTGCTATGCTGTTGGTGATTCTCCTGCTGCAAGTTTAATATTGGTTTAGAGACCTCCAGAGGTCCCTTCCACCAACACTGCTGTCATCTCTGGAAAAGAATAGGTTCCCCATCAAAATAATCAAGGGATAATGAAAAGCATCCGGCATTAGATAAGAGGACAGATAGGGGAGCTGGTGCCCGAGCTTATCAAAACTCTGGGCTGACTCCTGCTTGCTGGATCTACCCATCGTGGCTTTTTCATGCACTTACAACTTAATTTCTGATGCCAGCAGTGAGTGCAGGCCCATGAGGTGATGCTGAGGTTGCTCAATAAGGGTATGGGAAGTGGTTAGTGGGTCAGATGGCCGCTCTGATTCAGGTCAGTCTGGAGGAGAGGGCAGACTCGGACACTTGCTGAGCCAGCCCATGCCAGGCTGCCTATGTTGGGCTGTGGTGGAAAACTGCCAGTATGATCAGAAACAAACAGAATGTCCTGCAAATGACCGAGGGAGGATGGGGAGCGCTGATGGGTCTCTCAGGAAAAGAAGAGGAAGCATTTCTGTAGAGTTGGCAGTGCTGTTGGCAGTTACCACGTGGAAGAGGAGAGACCAAGAACTTTTGCACAGGGGCTTGAAAGAGCAGCACAGGAGATACTGAGCAGTGTCCAGTTGTGCATGAGGAGGCTCCGTGGGAGGAAATGAAGAAAGCCATGCTGAAGAGTTGGTAAAAGCGGAGGAGCTTCCATCTGATTTCATTATAGAGGGACAGTGCAAGTTTGGGGGAGCAGTTAGTCTCTAAAGTTTGTGCAAGAAGCATCAGGAGGAACCAGATGAGCCTGGGGGGCAAGGATAGGCCTGGTTTCAGGCTGTTCTGGACCATCTTTCAGTGTATTTGTTTCTTTACAGCTGAGAAAGCCCAGAGGTCTGAGTCAGCCTGTGGTTCTGATCAGAGGCCACGATGCCGAGCTTCTCATGGGCGTCGTGAACAAGAACAGAGAGGCCCACGTGAAGATAGAGGTCAAGGAGCCACCAGCTTGGGTGAGAGACACATCATTCCCACTGCCTTCTATATCCTCCCTCCCAAGCTGCTGTGCCATGGAATAGGACTTTCCCAAAGATGCTGAGCTTTCCTTCCCAGGGACGGAGATCACAGCCCTTTGCAGGAGCTGCCTGTCTGCAGCGTTCAGATGACGTGCTGCAAATAAAGGCTCAAAAGCACTTTCAGCTTTTTTTTTTTTTTTTTTTTTTTTTTGCTTCAGCATCACAAGTGAGGTGAGGGGATTCTCTGTCTCTTCAGGTGAGACCAAGCCTTGGTTTTCTCATCTTGTGCTACCTTAGGCCATGGCCTCTAGAGAGCTGAATTGCTGCAAGATGGAGAAATTCCCTTCCTGCTGGAATGTGCAGAAAAGACTGAATCCTTTTTCTTCTACCTGTAAAGAGCAAGGAGGTAGAGCTTGGCCAAGGACCATGTATTCAAAGGCTGACGGTCAGGAAGAGATTGGGATTTCCCTGCCTAGCCTCTAACTCTCACCCCTGCCATGCAGGAGTAATTTCTTTCCTGTTTTATCCAACAGCCAGACTACGATGTGTGGATTCTTCTCACGGTAGTCAGCACTGTGGTCGTCATCATTTTGATTTTTGTTGTCCGCACAAAGTGCCAGCTGAACAGGACTCAGGTAGGAATTTCACAGAGCAGATGCGTCTGAGCAAACAGAAACACATGAAAGGCTGGAACAGACACAGTTTGGGAGGGGAAATGTGCCCCTGTGTGAACTGAAGATGTGGCCATATCAGGCAGGAGCGGCCCAGGGATGAGCGAAGTGATCCTGAGATGGGCTGGCAGCATCCGTTGTGCGGTGGCCTTGCTCTCCTCCTGCTGCCCCACCAGCACTGCAGCCTGCAGTCCCAGCACCTTTCAGAGCTTGTCCCAGCACCCAAAGTTGCAGAGCTGGCCCACAAGCTCTTGATTTTAACAGTAGTGTCTGTATTGGTAGGGAATAGGAAATTTAATATTTTAACAAATTAAATAATTGTCTTTCCAGAGTCAGATGTATTTCCAGATTTGAGAATACCCCATTTGTCCTGTAGAAAGCCTTTAGGGCTCAAAATTTCAGTACTGCTGAGTGATTTTGAATGTCCAGTTCCAGATGTCTCCTGCTGGTGACAAAACCTACTCTGGCTAAGTCAGGTTAGGCAAAAAGTCACCTCTGGAAATAAGAAGTATCACTCCCAAATTCCTGATAATCCCATTTTGAAAGCAGAAGGGCAATGAGAAGTATGGTAATGTAAGGCTGAGCCTCTCCTTAAAGCCTCCTTCCTCCCTGGCAGGACTCCTTGCAGCAGCAGACCATGCAGGCTATCGGGCAGCTGGCCACGCGCAGGTACCAAGCAAGGTGCCGGCAGGCATCGCGGTGGGACTCAGCCAGCAGCTGCAGCTCAGCCCCGGTCTGTGCGATTTGCCTGGAGGAGTTCAGCGAGGGCCAGGTAGGCTGCGGGCACGGCTGTTGGTTAGCCACGGCTCTGAGCTTCCCGTCCGCAGTCAGGTGGGAGCTGCGGTGGGAGCTGAGCCATCATGGTAGGGGTGGGAGACCCTTGGGATGTTTCCTTCGGCAACTCCTGAGGGCTGGAAAAGGACCGGCATCAATGGAAGTCTGCCTGCGCCTTGACCGAAAAAGCCCTGCCCCTGCTGAAGTCATTTGCCTGCAGGTTCGGATTCCCTGAAGATGGGTCTCCAGCTGTCACTGTAGGGTAAAATGTCCGTAATACATTCACATAGAAACAGTGAGGCAAAAGTGGGGTTTGCTTCACCAAAGCACTCAGCCTGAAACCCCCCTGTTCCCGAGGGCTAGCACCTCTCCAAACGTTCACACCCCAGAGCTGGACATAGCAAGCAGAACCAGAGCTGCCAGGCTGCTGCATGGCCCCCTCAATGCAAAGCTGGGCTGCAGATTGCTCACCGTTAGACATCTTTCCATCCTACAAGGCTCGCTTCCATCAAGAAAGACCCATCCAGTTCTTGAGACATGGTTCTCCTTGCTCACACTCCTCCTCTTCTCTCCACCTCTCTCTAGGAACTGCGGATCATCTCGTGCTCCCATGAGTTTCACCGGGAGTGTGTTGACCCCTGGCTGCAGCAACACCACACGTGTCCGCTTTGCGTGTTCAATATCCTTGGTAGGGCTCAGACACAGCATTTCCCAGCCAAGGACGGGGTTGGGCGCAGGGGTTGTGCCCAGGAGGTGCAGGTACCCTTGGGTGATGCCTGCAGTCAGTGCGTCAGCAGGAGCGTTTGTCTCTCTGCACAGGGGTGTACAGGGCGGTGCGTGCATGGAGAGGGGTCCCTGCACGTGTGAGCCCCCACCGTGTACAGCGAGGTGCTGGGACCTGCACCATGACGAGAGGTTTCCAGTCCTGGGACCTGCAGGGAAGGGAGATGGGATCTGAGGGTCGGGGCAACAGGGAGGATGCTGTGTGTGCAGGACTATCAAGATGGTTTGGTGGTGGCAGTGAGGAGTTGCAGGGCACAGGTGGGACGTGGGACCGTAGTAGGAGTGCAGTGGAGGCTCACTGGTGCTGGGGCTACCGCAGCTGGGCTGTGGGGTGCATGCTGGATACTCCCTTTTCTCTCCACAGCCAGAGACTCGGTGGACCAGGCCACAGCCGCTAGCTCCAGGCTGGCCCCTCAGGACATGGAGCCTGGACGGCGACTCCACCTTTTCCGCCAGCACCCGGGACATGCCCTTTACCATCTCCCACACGCGTATCCTCAGAGGAACCTCAGGACCTTTCCCCCAGAGCCAGCACATGGCAACCCCTTCTTCCACTCTCCAGAGCTCTCCCAGCTGGATTTTGGCACCATCCATTACATGCC